TACCGGGTCCTGTAGGACTGCTTCTTTCATACGCTGATACCATGTACATTTCTTCTGAGACGGAAAAGAAGTTATTTCGCTTACAATAGGTTGTCGCGATAACGCGTCCGCTACTTGGTTTGCCGAACCCCTCCGGTACCGAATTTCATAATCGTACTGTTGCAATTCGAACAACCATCTCGCCACTCGTCCTGTCGGTTCATCTATTTTCTGCATCCACCGTAACGATTGGTGATCGGTTATGACTGTAAACTTATAGCCCTCCAGATATCCTCTCATTCGCCGAATACCCCATACTACGGCCAGGCATTCGAGCTCTGTGGCGCTATAGTTTTTCTCTGCGGGGATTAGTGTGCGACTAGCATACGCAATCACACGCTCTCCTTCGTCAAAGTGTTGCGTTAGTATTGCGCCCAGACCATCTCGGCTGGCGTCAGTCTGTAATATAAAGCGGCGTGTAAAGTCGGGACATGCCAGTACTGGTGCTGTTGTTAACGCCCCTTTCAACGTTTCGAAAGCTTGCTGCTCCTTGACTCCCCATGACCACTTGGTCTTCTTTTTCGTCAAGTTTGTTAACGGTGCGGCTATTTCCGAAAATTTCTTGACAAATCTGCGATACCAGGACGCTATACCTAAGAATTGTCGTACTTGTTTTATTGTTGTCGGCGCTTGCCATTTTCTTATGGCTTCGATTTTCTCCGGATCCGTGCGAATGCCCTGCTCATCGATTATGTGTTCTAGGTATTTTAGTTGGTTCACGCAGAATTTATATTTTTCTGTATTGATTCTCAATTGTGCTTGCCGCAATCTTTCAGATACCTCTGACAATCGGTTTATGTGTTCGTCCAGATCTTTACTGACTACTATAATGTCATCTAAGTATACAAACACAAATGGTTCTAGAGCTGGTCCCAAAACTGTGTCCATCAATCGTTGGAATGTGGCGGGCGCGGAGTGTAGCCCGAATGGCATTACTCGAAATTGCATGAGCCCACGTCCTGGTACAGTGAATGCAGTGAGCGGCTTACTTTCGTCGGTCAATGGAATTTGCCAGTACCCACTTTTTAGATCTATCGTAGATAGGTATCTGGCTCCTCGCAGCTTATCCAAAGTGGCCGTTATTTGCGGGAGCGGATATGCATCTTTTTGAGTAACGGCGTTTAAGCGACGGAAATCTATGCAAAATCGGTGTGTACCATCTTTTTTCCGAACCACCACTACTGGTGAACTCCAAGCACTATTGGATGGTTCAACAATTCCGGCTTCCTCCATTTTCTTGACCTCTTCGTCAATTATTTTTTGCATAGCTGGATTCCGTGGTCGATATTTTTGCTTAATCGGTCTTCCCTCTATTACCGTAATGTGGTGATAGG